CTTGGAACTTTAAGCTCATATGCAAGTATTGTGCACCACTTGGATGTATATTCATAAAACTCAGAGAGCATATTTTCTAATGATGATCCCGYATACCTAATAAAAGAATTTTAAACTTCCGATTGGCTGTATATGGACGTCAGGTATCCTATTAGAATTAAGTGAAAATATAACACTATAGACACTACACTTTAATGTCTAAAATATATGAAATAGGTCCAAGTATTTCTCCAACCTTTATACATTACATGCCCAATATATCGTTCATTGTGTGAATTATCTTCACATAACTGYAGTGGACTTGAGTCTTGAGTGRACTTTAGTAATGGAAAAWGTTTATGCAATAAGTYCAGAATTTTCTCTGATTGCAATTTCCCACTTTCCAGCTGATTTTAAACCATTGAAATTGGCCAAAATGTGTGATACAGTTTCCTTAGAAGTTATGCAATTATATTGTTTCTACATCGCTTTGCATAAACGGAGTTGAGCTATGCCTTGATAGTTATTTTTATTCTCTCGCAAAATGTTGCAAAAGRGAGTATAATATTTTTGTACAGCTAAGTAGGTTGCCTTTTATATTTCGGGATTTGGTCACTTTATCTTAAAACTCTCACTTTCGTCTTTTGTTGGTATGCATACTCGGAAGGTTATGACATATGAGCACTATTTATGCTTTTTTTTTTTTGGTAAATTAAAACGCCTTTTTACCGCGTATGTCGACCAATATGTGAGCTAACTCAATTACAATAAGAGAACGTTTTTTACTAATAACAGTGTATCTGCGAACTTGATCTATCCCCTATACATATAACTAATAATAGAATATTCGAAACTTCGTYTTACCTTACTCCATATAGATTAATAATGGTATGTGAGGTAACTTAATAAAACCCACAGATCATTTAATTAGAAGGTGGTATATTAATAAATAGTATATAGAATTATCTAAAATAGATTGAGCATRAATTAGTATATTTTTCGTTTTGATTTTAATGCATTCACGATTTCCTCGAACAATGAGGTTGAACCCTTACGCTACATTTTCCATTGCATTATCCAACACCTCAAAGTATAAAATGTTTCGTTTTACCCGAACTTAGCTCTTCCTTACTTGTTGTCTATGTGTTTCCCATTTTCAATATTTTTTTCTGGTGCACTTGCGGACTATCAAGTAATATGTATTTTACAAATCAACTGTCCGTCCACGAAATTTCAGCAAGAAATCTCCAAGAGTTTTAAAGACATGAGCCTGCTTAACTGCTTTTAACTTATTTACCGCTAAGTTGTTGACTGCAATGCAATTTTCGCTTTAAAGATTAAATGCCTAAAAGTAGGCAATTAAATTTTTTTCCTATTACATTCGAATACATATGTTTACAGCTATGCGCAAGATATTAGTAGTGAACGTATGAGATACATGCATATGTACTACGTTTCGTTTTTATACTCTCGCAACAAAGTTGCTAAAGAGAGTATTATAGTTTTGTTCACATAACGATTGTTTGTAAGTCCTAAAACTAAAAGAGTCAGATATAGGGTTATATATACCAAAGTGATCAGGGTGACGAGTAGAGTTGNAATACTATTTGTAACTTGAATCGTTTCTGAAGATCATAAAAAGTCGACGGTTTGAATATCAAAAATGTTCTGAAAATATTTGAGTATGTTTTTACTTGATATTTGCTGGCTTTTTTGTTGAGTGTTTTTTGTTCAAAATCGTAATAAAATTGGTATACGATTTTAGCCAATTTGATAACAGTTTATTATGAAAATTTGACGACATTTTATAATGTGTGATCCATTTCGAGGTTCCATACTTTTTAAAGAAAACACATGGAAACTTCACCTTTAATGGGGAATATTTATTATCATTCGAAATAACTTGCTACGAAAGCCTTTGATGCTAGCGCTGCGTACTTTAGTTTATTTAATAATTTGTTTATTATGTAAGCTTTAATAAAATATAAAAAAAAATAAAAAAAACTTGCTACGATTATCTCTTTCAAATGTTGACCGCAGCTACGTCTTAGATGGTCTAGCCCTTGAGTCCAAATGTCGATGACTCGTGCGAGCATTTCGACTGGTAATTATATTATCCTCACAGGAAAAAGTCTAACGATGTGTCATCACACGATCTTGGTAGTCAATCGACCGGCGCAAAATGTGAATTTATCTTCTTAATGAAGTGTTCTCTCAGTAAWTCCATTGATTGATGCGATGGTCGGAATTGGCGCCGTCTTGTTGAAACCAWAGTCACCGTCATCATTTTTGAATAAATATGGACCAATGATTCCTCCGGCCCAAAACCACATCAAACCGTTGTCTTTTCTGTATGAAATGGTAGCTCATAATTGTTCTTCGTCCCAATTGCGGCAATTTTGCTTACTTATATACCCATTTACATACCAATTGAGCCAATTTTACTCGAAAACTGTGGAGCTGCTTGGAACTTTAAGCTCATATGCAAGTATTGTGCACCACTTGGATGTATATTCATAAAACTCAGAGAGCATATTTTCTAATGATGATCCCGTATA